GCTGTTTTCACAGCAAAATAGGAGATGTTATACTCACATTTGTGCTTGCATCACTATTGAAAACCAGGCTTAAGATCTCCATTACAGTGACATCTTATAGGGATCAGTTTACCTTAAGTCTTATAAAGTGACAGACTGAGGAGGTTAAGTAGCAGGGAGCTACTCCTAGTATCCATTTTAAGGATATCTCAGTCTTCAAGAAGCGACAGTTAAGAGAATGTTGACTGACTAATAGTATACAGTATTTCCAAATGATTCACTGTTTTACATTTAAACCAAAACTTTTATTTCAAATGGATTTCAAGAAAGATGTATGTTTACCAAGGCTTCTTTTTGATGGGTACCCCATCAAGAGTTGCACTCTCTTTAATCAACATATGATACAATCTATGTGCTGTACAAAAAAAAGGAACTGAAATAAATAATTTTAAAACAACATCAGATAAACTGTGGATTCTTTTTCTTGTGAGCAAGATGTTGCTAGCTAAGAGTCCAGCTATAATTTAATTGATAACATGGATAAAAGAACTTACTGTATCCTGAACTTCCAAAAGAATATTGTGTTTCTTCATATAATTGTTTATTTCTGGTGGAAGACGTATAATCTTTTCTCCAGTTCCCACAACCACAATTTCTACAAGAATACACTAGAGTTTAGTGGAAAATTTATATAAACTATTCATAATATACAAACTGGAATTCCTTTTGGTTTCAGCTTACACAACTTGAGATATGTGATGATAACTGGCAGATCAGAGAGGGTACAGTCCAAAATGGTGTGAAAGTATCTTGCAGCTAAAGAGCACTAAAAAACCTACCCGGTTTGCTCAAATATTAGAATTTGAATTTTGGAAAAAAAATCACCTAGTACTTCAGAAGAAAAAAATTAGATAACAATTACAGAATCAATGAGATTTGCAGCTTTGTTGAATGTGCTACAGTTCAAGTTTTTTACGTATAGAAAATTTTGAGACACAAAACTGAAATAACATACAAACCTATTGGAGGTTCCATTATTGTAAAAAGAGTCAGACTGTCAGCTGTTATATCTTCTGGTTTTTTAATCTTTGATATGAAAGAAAAAGTTTACTTCTTTACTTAAAAGTACAGTGCTTACTTTTATTATCACAAAAGAATCCAGTATAAAATTATCATTAGCAGAGAAATGAAGCCTTCATAAGGTTGTACTGAACCTTTTCTATCAAAATAATCATTTGCCAGGTCCTGTGTACAAAAATTATGACAGAGTGTAATTTCAGAAATTATCAATGCCAGGCTTGTGGAGTGTCATTCATGACAAAATTTATGGTTTTCTTACAGCACCTGAACAGTGATATCAAAATCCCAAAATTCAAGCACTCAAGGTTTTTTTTAGTCTGTACAAATATTTTATTGATCTCATTTTCCTACAATTTGATTGGTCTCTTTAAACAAGCCTTGAAATTTGATTAGCTATAGCTGTCTCATTGGCTAGGAAAAAGATGCACTTAAGACCATAAAATGGTGCAATTTGTGAATGAATCGCACTGGTGAGAGCAAATCAGATGTTAACCATTACAAGAGATTTCTAAATGGATATACTAAAACAGGAAATATGAAAAAGTATATGGAGAAGTAACACCAAATTCTCCAGGGATAATTTTAAGAAAACATCTCAAAAACAGATATCCTACTACAGATCATAAGTCCCACCCTTGTAAACCCTTGTGGGCATTTTTTGGGGTGGCACATCTGGGGTGTGATACTATGCTATAAACGATAGAGACCTCAGACCACAGCAGTGACTTGAACTTCACTTCTCTCTGTATGAACCTACTCATATCACAGGTCACAAGCAACTTACCCGCCAGTGGTAAAACGCTGAGGGAAAGATTACAACAGAGCCAAACACTTTGATATCCTTTACAGTAAAACCACGAGTGCTGTATGACATAACGTAAGGCGGCGAGTTGATCAGACTTTCTTTATCTTTTAAGTCTGTTATAAAAGTAACTGTTGACTGCATTGGTTCTTTTTCAATACCGTGTTGCTTAAGGCGTCTTGGAATTCTATTCGTAAATAAAATAACACAATTTTAGAGTGGGATGATAATTTCCATTAAACGGTGTAAAAATGAGTGCAACATACATAATATGTACAATATTAAATGTGAAAAAATAAGGTGGAATTTAAAAGAATGAGCAAATTTTGCAGCACAAAATTCGTAGGGATGAATCATCTTAGCTTACGTAAATTTTTTATCTGATCACATGAACACTTACCGAGAAATTGGTCTTCCTAAAAGATGTCTACATGTCCTTATGCACAGAAGAGCGTTCGCCATTTTGAAAATTTTGTTCACATGTGGATAGCGGTAGCTTAGTATGTTATATACAGTTACACAAAAACGACACCGTAACGTCACCAATGAAAATGGCCGGTGTCACGAAAGCTAAGACCTAAGACCAAAGACCCCTCGAAGACTAAAACCCCTCAAAAGACTGGTTCAGGATTCAGGTTTTCGCTTTTGAAAAACACTCCAAAATTAAGACCCCTATTTGAATTCATGGCCAATTACAGTGCAATGAAATAACCCAACACTTGAGTACAGTTCGAGTCACGACTTCTGAGAATTTCACGATAATTCAATTCGGTCCTCTACAGTTAGTTGGTAACTATATACATTAGAGAATTCTCTCCATATGCCGCGTTTCGAGCGAAAGGCCGGTTCGACTATCATGCTAAAAAATTTTGCTTTTGCGGCAAAAAAAAAAAAGTCCCCCTAAAAACACACACTCACATCCATTAAATCTGTTAACCAGAGTAGCATCAAACCATGTCTGACACACTCTCACCTTTAAACATCAAGCGCTGTTAAATGGCCCCTGTGATTCTGTTTGTATTGCCTTTTTTATAGCTGTGATACATCCGTCGCATTGTCGGTTGCTTGACGGCTGTATGGGTTTTCAGTCGTCTTCCAATGCCATTTCTATATCATCGATGAAAATTATTATTCGCGCCAGGTTAAACATTTTCCTGAAAAACGTTTTCCCTCGCTAAAATATGAATAACCCACTAGCAAAGTCTAAGAATCTCGCAAACAAGAACATAGGGAAAAAAATTACCGCTGTAATGTATGAGATAATGCAATTTTCCGATTCAAAGAACAGCATCTACTGAAGTTTTACTTTAAGTTTAAGTTTTACTTTAGTTTACTGCGTAAATCAGGGAGAAAGGTGTTGCCCACATTCCTTACAGTGAAACAATATTTGATTCGTATTTTTATCAACGTTAAAATAACTTTACAAACGATCCCTTTTTGCTATTAATTTCGTGTTATAGGATTTGTCTTCAAATTGATGCGAACCAGGAGACATAGTAATACAAGAACGACAACGACAATGGTACTCAATTGAAAAGGCCACTTCACATCACAACTGTTTCTTGCTACATTTCACCACAGCCTAGCTCTGCTCGAATCAATTTTCTGTGCGCATCCTTCAGGGCCGATCGCAATTCTAGTGAAATTTCCAGGTAGGCGGGGCCGAAGTATGGGAATCGGTTCAAAATGCAGGAGCGTTTTATACAATAAAATTTCGTTGTATATCTCGTCGACGGCAAATTTTCTCCTTGATTGTTTGGGTCAGGGTACATCCAATTTTCCTCATGTGCGAGAATAATATCAAATAGAAGGGTATAACTGGACAAATCATAACATATCCAACGTCCCAAACATATTTTGGCACCCCTTTGTTTTATGTTATGAGAGTTGAGTGTTTGCAGGAAGAAATGCGGTCGCTAGGCCGCAAAACGACATTACCATCAATCTGCTTCACACTAATTTGGCAGCAATTTGTTAAAAAGATAAATAATGATTATCATAATAAACTTACCATCTTTCTTATTCTTTACAAAATAATACTTTATATGGAAAGTTACAAACGCGAGAGAAGATGAACTGAGCTGGTCATGAATTACGATCGGAAAAACTGATCTTAAAAATTGCGTTTAAAGTTCCCCGAAAATTGAAAAAAAAAACTTATTCTTGCAGAATACGTTAAAACGGCCTTTCGCTCGAAACGAGGCACATCGAAAGCATTCTCTGCTGCGCAGACGTAAGACTAATGCGTGGTGAATTTTATTCAATAAGAAAAGAGAAACAGAAAGCTTACTTTTTCTTTCTGAATTAAATAGAGTGTAAATTTATGATTGAAAAGTTTGCTTATCATTATTCAACTTTTAATTTTGCAGCTCAGTTAAGCCTGCATGTATACACCTCAAATAAAATTCACGATCTCCAAGTTGTAGCTCCCCCAGATTGAAAAGATTATCTTGGCTTCTTCTTTCTTTTAAAATATCCCATACCAGCCCATACGTAAAAGTTTTCTAGGGGTTTTAGTTTTCGAGGGGTCCTAGGTCCTATTAGGTCTTAGCTTTCGTGACACCCGAAAATGGCGGAAAATTTGAGTGTGCGCTGTGGCTCTGCAAGGGAACTTGGGGAGACAACACTCTTTGTAAGACTTAGTTATAGAAATTAATCTTAGAAAGTGATTTAGCTGTAAAATGAATATTCTTGAGCGAAATAATATATTGAACGTCGGTGACAAAATCGAGCGAAGGAAGTTAATTTGCTGGCCGAGCTCCAAGTACCTGTCACACATAACCGCCGCGTCAAGCTGGTACGCCATGGAAATAAAGGTAATTATTTTCCACATGTCACAATACTTTCTAGTAAATTCTACTTACTGTTTTGTGATTAACCTTCTTGCGTTTGAACCATTACAATTTTAAAATTCAGAAAAGCGATCGTCATCCATTACTACACTTTGAGCTCAACTGCTATTACATTATTGAGCAGTCCAAGTTCTGTACTGTAGATATGAATGACAACAACAAATATTTAAAAATGTTTACAATTCTTAAATAAATAATCAGCACGATTTGCAATAAATGGAATACCATACTGGAGAATTCCCTGTCAATTTAGCCCTGTCATGCCAATGTTTAACGCGCTCTACTCGGTGTCATCTGAATTCAGCTGTTATTACCTTGACAGCCGCCATTACATAACATATTTAAGGAAGATTACTAGTTAGCTTTTTTTCGCATTTGCTGAGAAGAAATAATTATTTCAAAATGAAAAATTACATGCTATTTTATCTAGTGGTTATTTATTTCTTCTTGTATCTTATCAACACATCAACAGTTGCCACAACTTGTAAGTTTAATGGATGCTACGATTCTGGAAGGAATCCACGTCCTTGCATCGCAAGTCCAGTCAATATGGCCTACAAAAGGAATGTTTCATCAACAAATACATGTGGTAACCCAGCTAGTGGATTCTGTGAGCTTGGCCCTGGACAAAAGTGCTTTGAGTGTGATGCTAATAAAACAGATAAAAGGCATTCTCCAGTATTCATAGTTGATAAGGAATTTGATACTCCATATTTCCTTGAAGATGTAACATGGTGGCAGTCTCAAACATGGTGGGACACAAACCAACTTGGAATGTCAAACCAGTTCAATCCTTTGAAGGTAAACATAACTCTGTCTTTTGGCAGAAGGTTCCACATATCTGGTGGTATCATAGTGAGATTTTACAACGAGAGACCAATGGCCATGTTTCTGGAAAAGTCAAGGGACTATGGTAAAACATGGAAAGTTTTACAGTACTTTGCTTTTAAGTGTCCCTTGTATTACAACATGGATGAAATGGAACCTGTTCCGAAGAACAATCTATTTGAAGCAACCTGCACTGAGGATTACAGTGGACAGTTCCCACCAAGATATGGAAAGGTGGAGTACAGATTTGATAAACGCTATGATGACAGTTGTCGTTACTTTGATGAAGAGATCCAGAATTTCATGTTAGCAACAAATGTACGAGTCAGACTTGAATATCCTTACACAGATGGCCTTGAAAAAGTATTTCAGACTGAGGATGTACTCAACAAGTATTATTATGCAATCTCAGATATTGTAATAACAGGACGGTGTGACTGTAATGGGCATGCACAGTATTGTACAGGACCACGCATGGAGGAAACATGTGAATGTGAGCATAATACAATGGGACAGGATTGTGAAATGTGCATACCAATGTTCAACAATCGTCCATGGATGCCAGCAAATGCGAGTCATGCAAATGAATGCAAAGGTGATCACCAGTTAACTTTATTATTCAGAACAAATTTTCATTTCCCTTGGCATGCAAAATCTAAAAATAGATTTTTTACTGGTTATAAATTCATTGGCTAAATGTGTTTTATTTGGTTTGATATAGAATGTGAATGTAATAACCATGGATTGTCCTGTATATACAATGTTACTCTGGGCTATGGTGTTTGTACCAGTTGTCAACACAATACCAAAGGATCACAATGTGAAACATGTTCACCAAAGTACTATAGGAATGCAAATGTGCCTTTACAAGATCTAAACACATGCATTGGTAAGATTAGCTGGCAAATTGATTTTAATTACAAGAATTAAGGACTTAGTTGCACTTAGCTTACAAGCTGGTTAAGATACTTTCATTAATGTGTTGCTTGAAACCAATAGGCTTGTTCATTTTAGATAAAAGCGCCTTTAATCCTAAGTTACAGTAACTGTTTCTTTTTTTTTTCTTTGCAGCTTGTAACTGTTTCCCAGAAGGTATTACAAATGATGGTACATGCCTACAGGAGGAAACACCCATGCAGGTGATTGGACAGTGCCAGTGTAAGGAGAATGTGTTTGGACGACAGTGTGATCAGTGTATTCCAGGATACTGGGGTTACAGAGGAAATCCAGCTGGTGAATGCAAAGGTCAACTTCCACAACATGCCTAAAAAGTCACAATTCTTGAAATGTTTTGTCTAATGTATTATTCTTTTTGAGCACAGTTGCTTTTTAAATCTAAGTTTAAGGGTTTTACTCTGACTTTTTTCTCTTTGAAGAACAATTATTTAAAACAAATGGCTTGGTTTGCAATTCTTATAATTCTCAACACAAAGAATTTTTTGATTGTTTTGCTTCAGCCTGTGGATGTGATATCTTAGGAACAGTGAACAACACTTTACAGTGTGACCAGTATACTGGGGACTGTCCATGTAAGGAATCTGTACAGGGCAGGTACTGTGTGGAATGTAAAGATGGCTTTTACCTGTTTCCACTAACCAAGGATTCAGATTGTCTAAGGTGTCCCTGTGATTTAGGTGGGGCATTCCCTCGATGTGACAAATTGTCAGGTTGGTAACTTTCAAGTTCCTATCTTTTGAACAGTGATTAATGGTATGGCCCATTGGTATTTACTGTGATGTGAGTAGTCTTGAGTTGATATTTGGTTTAGAAACTTGTATCCCAAGTTTATAATTTTAAATCTTCATAATCCTGATAGATTAGTTTTTCCCTGGAAGAGAACTTCATGTGGAGCTTATTGTGTCATAGTTTCCCCTTTCTGTAACTGCTGCATATTTTATGTTTGGAGTGATTTACTAAAACCTCAATCTTGAAGAACAAAATAATTTTGTTAGTCAGAAGTTCATTATTATCCAAACTGGTATGAATAGATTAAACATACCAGGGAGGAAACCCTGCTAGAATATCTTTTGTAATCAATTTAATGCAAAATCTTAAATTCCACCAGCAAAACTATTTAATTCAGATTTTTTTAACTTGAATTTTCACCTGGTCAGCACTTATATTTGATTTCTTAGGCACCTGTTCTTGCCGCCCTGGTGTAGAAGGAAGCGAGTGTGAAAGATCCCAGCAGGAACATTTCTATCCATCCTTGGACTTCATCCAGTTTGAACTAGAAGATATGCATGGTACCTTCACAACTTTGACTCCATCTGAGGGTTATGGAGTAGACTTCAGTGGGCATGGTTTTGCCATTCTCTATACAGGGCAATATGCCTACATTGATAATGCCAAAGTGTTAGCCAGCCACCAGTTCTATGCAGTTCTTCGTTACAGTATCACCCAAAGTTGTACATTTGATTTTTCTGCGAAGCTTGTATTGGGCATCACAAGTACTGGCCAAAATACCAGCATTGAATTTGATCTTTTAATGGAAAAGCAACCAGAAAGATCAGGGAAAACATGGAAGTCACTTCAAACTGTAACACTATTGACTGGCAAAGTCTACAACCTCTCACTGACATATAACAGTACCAATGACATTGAGAACTGCTCTGTTCATGTTGACTCACTGGTCTTTCTTCCTGATGTAAATACTACCAGAGCTTATACTGAGTCCGAAAGAGACACTCAAGATCAGTTACATAGCTGTACTCAAGCTTCTTTGTCTCTGGCAGCATCAGAGCCAGCTTACTGCAACAAACTGGTGTTTGCTGCAAGTACAGAAATCTATAATGGTACCTTGGGTAAGTTCATTTCCTCTCTTACTGACTTTTCTCCCTTTGCTTCATCAATTTCCTTCTCCTGTAATGGGAATAATTCACTCATGCCAATCTTTCACTTGAAAACAAGGCAGAAGCTGTACTTTTTGGTTAACAAAGGAAGAAGGTGCACATTAAATGAAATAATTTTAGCAATTTATCTCATTCTGTAGTCTCATGACTGAGCATGTAACAGTACATGTTGTTTTCTATGTGATAGATCAAATACTCGTGCCGTGTGTCCATTGTGTTTAGTTTTATGGAAAATACTGAAACTATTGCTTTTCTTATAGTTTCAAAAAATCACAACATATCAGCGAACAAGACTTTTACCCTACATTTTTAGGCATCTTAAGCAACATGTTTAATATAAAGAGGTAATTTTAACCATGGGACTTTCCCCTTTTAAAAGGGCCCTCTCTATCTATATTTATGAGAAGGCTGTTTCACTTCAAGAACATCACAGTCTGTTCAGATCTTGATTGTTGCTGCTTCATTTTTGTTGGATTTCAGCCTGCAGGTGTAATCCGGTTGGTAGTGTTAGTGGTACACAATGTACAGCTTATGGAGGCCAGTGTCAGTGTCACCCAGGAGTTGTGGGACGTATCTGTGACTCCTGTAATAATGGATACTATGGATTTTCTTCAACAGGATGTAAACGTAAGAAAACAGCTAACTTTTTGTACTTGTCACCATTAGAACACCACTAGATGCATGGAGTTAGATGAATCAGTTTGAAAAAAGATAGATACTTCCAATACATTAAAAACCATTCTTGTTCCTATTGGGTCTTCTCTCACCTCTTTGTTGATTGATAGCCTCTGCCAAGCTTTTTTGTCAATAACAGGTAATAAAAATGAGATTAAAATTGTTGCTAGTTTGGATCTGTTCATTCTTTGTATCTTTTTGATTCCTCTTCCATTAATATCTTTTGTGCTTGCTAAATAACTGTTTTTTTGATAGGGGTAAATGTGAATGACCCTAAGCAATTTTTTAAGAGGTCTGGATAAGCTGTATCACAGTATACTTGTTACTAAAAAGTTAACTGTGTTTTTGCAGGTTGTCAGTGTTCTAATGCGGGGTCTTTGCATTTTGCCTGTCATTTGACAACTGGAAAGTGCCAGTGCAAGGCCAATGTTGAAGGACACAACTGTGACATCTGTAAAGATGGCTCCTTTAATTTGGATAGTGCTAATGAGCAGGGATGTCTGTCTTGTTTTGGTTATGGCAGAGCGAGTAGTTGTAAATCAGCTAGTGGATTTGTTGCATCAGCCATATTAAATGAATTTGAAAATAAAACAGGTAATATCTGTGCTTTTGATTCTGCCACATTTTACACTAGCTAGTTTACATTACAAGCTATTCTTTAATAAATATCTAAAAGCATCGCTTCAATCAATATTCTACTCAATCAATGTACCAAAAAAAAAGCAAGCACCAAAATGTTTCTTGGTACTTGTGACAGATGCAGTATTTGCAACCCTGGAAGAAATAATCGTCATGTAATGTAATAATGATGACATATTTAAATAATGAAACAATTAGTTGTCAGTTGTAGTTCTGTCATTGGAAACAAAAGCTTATTATATCTAAATTAGCCCAGTTATTAGACAAGGTAGCTCATCTGAGGAAAAGGAATGGTATACAGTTGCTAGATTTTTGGGACCAACACTACTCTAAAGCAGCCTTGCATTTGACAATGCTGTCAGCTGTGCAGGCTAAATGGGAACATACATGCAAACTGTCCGCAATATTTCAAAGCATATAAGATGATGAAAATGCTTGGATCTTGTGTATGTTGCTAGATATGTATCCCTTGAAATAAAGTGGCTTAACGAAGCATTTGTTTTTCATGTTTGTTTCTTTAAAGAAAAGTATTCTAATTTCTTATTTTTCAGAGTTTGATTGGGTGGTGGTAAACAGGACAGGTGATGTGATTCCATTTGTTGACTCAGCATCCAATGGCTTGGTTGTTACCTCTGTTCTTGTGCCACCTGTAATGTACATTAGTGCACCTTCCTTATTTCTTGGAACACAGTTCAGGTCATATGGCCAGAGACTACATGTCAAAGTAAGGATATCTAGGTGATTTAATTCACATGGGGAGGGCTATATAATAATATTTAGATGGCAAACTCTAATGTTAAGGAAGAGTGGCTCAACAAAAGTGACTATCATGCATACATTTGGTGTACAATGGGTAAATTGTACCTGTCACATATCCAGTTTGTCATTTTGTTACTGGGGGCAAATAAAGAGTGAAATTTTAGTCAAAGTAAATCTGCGTTTCATACAAGGTTAAAAGACAGTGTGGTTTGTGGTAAAATGTACCCTGAAAGTAGGTTTGATAAACCCTCTGAGATTAGGTACCCTGTGATATTGTTACAAAGATTACTCGGCTGCATTCACTTTCTTGGGGAAAATGGATGTGACAAATGGTTACATGTGAATTTGTTCAAAATTTGTTTCTTTTAGTTATGCCTATCTGTTGCTGAAATGCTTAGAGAACCTTGTTATTAAAATGAGCATTCATTATCAGTCAGTTAGAATTCTTGTTGCTTTTTACAGGGGGAGATAAGAAAACATTAGCAGCAACAATTTGTTCTTGATATTGGCATAGTTTTATGACATCATCCACAGAAATCATGGCTGCTATGCATTCCCCACAAATCATTAAGATACTCTACATGTAAACGTTTGTTATTTTTTTGACAGATAGACATCAAAGATCCTGGTAATGGACAAAACCCGGCTGCAGCAGATGGAGATGTCATCCTGGCCAGTGGCTCTAAAGAAGTGGCGCTCAACTTTATTCCCTCCCCCTCTCCTAACGTCTCGTCATATCACGTGATACTAGATGAAACACACGTGATTGATGGGCAGTCAGTATCATCACTGGAGTTCCAGTACATTTTGGCTGGGCTGACTTCTCTCAAGCTCCGTGCCTCGTATTTCCCACAGAGTACCGTGACTTTCAAGGAGGTAACTTTGGAGACTGCCGTGAATGAGCGAGGTATACCAGGTGAAGTTTCGGTTGGATTTGTAGAAAATGCTACGTGTCACACAAACTACACAGGGCTGTCGTGTGAACTGTGTGCGCCAGGTAAGTAGCAGAAGTATTTTTCTTTTAAATCAGTGTGAAAGGCTGTGTTGACGTTATAAATGTAATTAAAGACTTGAATAATTCCTACCCGTTATACCTCCCTACCGTTCCTACCTACTCTTTTCATCGACTTTAACTTTCTCTTATTGAACAGAGACAGGAGTCAAAGACTGAAACACTGAAGATTTAAGAGTCATTTGCTGGAAACATTACAATCCAACCAATTATGTTTATTTTCTCTCCTGCACCTACATTTAATCCACTCTTCATGAGTTTGTAGTGTAACAGAGCCTTAACTTGTTATACAGGCACTTGTTAGCTTTGAATAACTAGCCTTGATCATTTACATTAAGAAACATTGATACAAAAAACTTCCATTACATATTTATAATACTCACCGGTATTGTTTTTGTTTTTTCTTTGTTCTTTCCTCAGGGTACACTCGTGAGGTGAATGGAAGTGGGCCAAGTGGCCGTTGTGTTCTTTGTTCCTGTAATAACCGGAGCACAGAATGTGACAGGGAGACTGGGGCGTGCACCAACTGTCAAGTGGGTACCTATGGTGACCGCTGCCATTTGTGTACAAATAATGTGCTGGGACCAGAATGCACTCAGTGTGAGCCTGGCTATTGGGGACTGTCAGAAAATGGTTGCAGAGGTACCAAAGGGTACTCTTTACACATATTGGTTGCTTAACTGGCGTAGCATCCCGTGATATTTTTGCTGAATAATAAGTAGTTACCTGTGCATGTCTCTAGCTAGTCTTTGAGCTTAAGCTGATTCAACGGAAATGATGAGCAATTTGACTTAACTTATTTGAATCCAAGTGATATACCAGTTTGTTCTTCACCATTTTTAAGCATTTTACACATATCCACTTTCTGTGTTGAACACTCTTATCAACCTTACCAAGAAGACGTTTGAAAATCAAAGTTAATTGAGTTAAAAATTGTTGGTTTGCCTGCCAGTGCATTATTAACTAGTATAGTTTCAAGGCGTTACAAACTTTCTAAATGTAATGTTTTGTCACACCAAAAATTACATTTAAGTTGTCACTCATTCTCATTGTATATTCTTTAGCCTGTGATTGTCACCCTGTTGGAACTGCCTTTGGAAACACAACCTTATGCGACCAAGTGACTGGTCAATGTGAGTGTAACACAACAGCTAGAATAGGGGGCAGGCGCTGTGACAGGTGTATGGAAAATAGCTGGAATACTTCAGACAGTTTGTTCAGCTGTAGAGGTAAAGAGCGTCTTGGAACTTTATATTCTGTTCCAACATTCGAAATTATTTTGTTTCTTTCTGCTATAATTCGACTGACTTTTTACATCTGAATAAAGGGGGTAAGTTTCTAACGCTCGAAAAATCAGCTTTAAAACTCTTTATGGTGGCCTATTTACGTTATCAACTCAGTTGATAATTCTAAGTTACATTGAATTTTTACTTCATTAATGTCACTTTTTCAGAATGTTCCTCCTGTTACTCTTCTATCCAAGAGGATGGGAATGTTGTTCGCACTCGGCTCCTAGACATAGAAGATGATCTCTCGGCTCTTATGAAACATCCTGCATTACTTCACAATCTCACATTTGTGGAGCGATTGCACCAGCTGGTCACGGAAGTCAGCGTACTTACCCAAACAATCAGCAGAGCATTGGAGGTAGAAGGAAATTTAACATCTCAGTGGCTAACGTTTGCAGTTGCATGCCACGACTTGAGTACCAACCTAAACCACACTGAGACAACTTATGTGAATCACACACTTTATTATGCAGCTGTAGTGGATGCCAATAGAAAAGAAATCGAGAGCACTGTTACGCAGATTCGTGATGTAGTCAGGGAGGCAGCCCGCTTATTGGGAACTCCTATGAGACACAAACTAGAACAGAACGAAGTGTTGTCCAGATCCCTGGCGCTCGTAGCAAAGGAATTGATAGGTGTCGCAGAAGGTGTGATTGAACATAAAAATCGCACCGTCACAATTAATGGGACAATTTTTGCGCGTGTAGAATCCGCATTGGAGACAGCAAGCAATGCTACTGAAAAAGCACAAGATGCGAATTCTACCCAGGTTCAACTGACTAATCTGCTGCAGCCACTGTATGAAAACGTATCAGCAGCAAATACTCTTGGAGAGCAAACAGTGGCATTGGTGTTAAGCAAACTCACCAGTGCTAGTAAAGCGTATAATGACAGTGAAACAATGATAGCCGAGGCTAGTCAACCAAACCCTGACAGGAGCAGTGTAAGTTTACTGTATTAATGTGAGTACTTTGGTAAGTCAAATATAGATGTACCGAAAAATTCGTTATATCAAATATGATCGAAAAACTAGATTCACTTTCTCATTCGTCGCTTTAGTTGGGATTGACTACGTATCACGAGAGAAGACCCTGGTGGAAATGGATACTGAATTACATGTGATTATTTTGACAAATATAGGTGTTACAAGATTTGAAAAGAAAGACAATTGAGGCAAGAAATCTGGCAGCGCATTTCCTCAATCAAACCAGCGAACTATATCATTCCAGTGCGGCTGTGGCAGGTCAGGTTCACGCTGCCATAGAAAGATCGGTACATCTGGAAGAGGAAGTACAAAACGTGTTGTTAAATGGTACACAGCTTCTACAGAGATCCCAGGCTGCATTAAGTTCCACACAGGCTTCTGTCTCAAGAGCTAACAAGGTGCATGAAAATGCGAAGAGAATGTTGAATGTCGCGAGCAACTTTGAAGCTGAATCTCGTCAGGTCCAGGCCTCTGCCAACAGGTCCTTGTTAACTGTTTCCTCCGCTCGCACCAACGCTCACGACATTTTAAGGAATGTTTTTGCAGTGAATGAATCTTCTGCAAACTCGCTGAGAACGGTTGAGGAGGCTCTGCAACTTGGAGACGCGGTTGATAAATCTTCTGCTTCCGAAAAGCAGGTATGCTCCCTGTTAGTTTGTCATGATGTAATTGGTGAGTAAAGTATTGTATTTTTCGACCCCAACAATTATTTTAATGAACACACAGCGTACGAGTTGTTTCGTGATAGTTTGAATCTTGTCTTCTAACCAACAACAATAGACGTTAGAGTGGTAAGCAGTGAAGGAAGTCACATCAAGAATTTTTGTCTCCAGCTATTCTGTGGCGATTTTTTTGTCGGTAATCACATGGTTGAAGCTCACTGACTAAATCAAACTCAGTGTGTAATGGCTGGAACTCTACTCCATACCAAACCTGTAGCAGTATGCAATCGCCTTACTACCGCTAACCTAAAAAACACGTAAAAAGGATGCTTGTTCTTAGGGCTGATGACTTAGTTTGTGTACGCGTTTAGTAACAGAAATGGATACCTGTAAACTTTTTGGTTTTCAACCAGTGGAGTAATCAATTTTTACTTTTTGTGGCTTACAAAGGTCGTGAAGAAGGCTCTCCGCCTGGCGTATAAATTGTGGAACGAGACAACTGGAGTGAACATGGTAGGTAACGCTACTATGGAAGACTTCATGGCTCGAAATATAGAACCCATCCAGAAACTCTGTCAAAACCTGTCGACAAAAGCCTCCAACTTGTCAAACAATGGCCACATTATTTTTCATAGAGCTGCTCATACAAACGCTACTGTGCATCGACTAATTATTTTGATTAGACGCGTGATGAATGAAAGCTCTGGTTTGCCTCGAGTCAGAGTGGACGATCTGCCCACTCTCAGGGAAGGGGTGAATTCAGCCCGACAGCAATTTGACGGGCTTCAACTCCAGCCCCAGTTAGAGGAGTTAAAAAGAGAGCTTCAACTACAGAAGACAAAGATGGCAATGTATAAAGAGCGGATTTACCAGCTTCGGTCTGATATTCAGAAATATAAGGATTTAGTAAGGTCTCTACCTTCCTTTATGCTTTGCTAACTTTGCTAATAGAGAGGAGCTGAAAGACTAGATTATGTAACCAAACATCCATGGGACATTGCGGACAGTCACAAGGCCTTACGCAAGCCCTTTTGGTATTGAGTAACACAACTTTACTGATCAGACCACTTCAGCACAGCCTGGAGAGATTTTTCAGGTTTTTTTTCTTTTTGACTGTGTCAAAACAACACGTCAAGACTTAAACTGAGACACGGAGTATCTTTTTAGCCGGTTAACTACAAAGTTTTATGGCCAGTTTTTCGGTCTTTGGCCCTTGATGTAATTAAGACTGCTTACAAGTTCCGCAGGCTGTTCGACTAAGGGCCTGTTTACATGGAGGTGGGGGACCCCAGGTAGGTGAGGTAACCCGCCTAGCCGTGGTCGAAAAATAAAACGCGTTTCCATGCAATCTTATAACTCCGGCGTGCTGGGGTGAGGTTTCTTGAGGTTGTTGTTGTGCTTGCAATTGAGGATTTTGAGCGGAGGTTACCCTACCTGGCAGACCGGACAACCCGCCTAGGCGGGTCACCCCACGTATCATGTAAACGTGATCAAGATAAAATAAGAAATTATATGGACAGGCGAGTTGCCCCACCTAGGCGGGTTACCTCACCTACCTGAGGTCCCCCACCTCCATGTGAACAAGCCCTACTAGTATCATGATTTGCTGATGAACGAGTATTCAGGCTTCCCCAATACTGAAATAATACTATCCCACTCCAGTATGTGCTAATTACAAACTTTTGGAGACTATGCTGAAGCAGTGATTTCAATTGCTATAGTAGTCTTCAATTTCAGCGCCTTAAAAAGTTAGAAAGTTTGAGAACAGACAGTGTAAGTCAGTAAAAAGCTCCTTAAAGATTCCAATCAAGATCGTTTGCTTTTAACTCTCGATCCGGAAAAGAGGTCTGTTAATTCAGTTATTCGGTGTTGGCATCCTCGTTATGGAAATTAAAGAACTCAAAATTCGAGGTCTTTCAAGGGATAACTGTGAGAATGCGATTCTTCATGATCAGTTGTAGCCGGGTGCAGGCGTTCAATTTGTAAACATGACTCTGTTAAAATGGGTCGCAAGCGTGGCGCAGAACATAGAGAGAAGTGAGGTTTGCAACAGGTCTGTGCTACCGTCACGCCCCGTTTACAAACTGAACGCCTGTAAATACAAGTGAAATTAGTTAGTATCATTTTGATAATGCTAATGATGTTACTATTATTTGGTAATTTGGCGTATGTCAGAGAGTAATTTATCAAAAGTTGCGTCATTACTGGGTACTAAGATCCACCAACAGCTGTGTTCCAGTGTAGGTATTTGTGGTCCCTCAATAAAAGATGTGTTCTCTGACCGTCCTGATCGAAGATTTTTTCTGTTCCAAGATCAGTTTGAAATTACCTTAAGACCTGATAGCGAGATACCAAATTTGATTATACAGGGAATCAGTGAGAAAAAAAGAAGTAAATGTGGTGACTCTCGCTTTGAAGAAAATATCCAGGGCCGACTGAAAAATTAAGCGGTAGGATTACATGATTCAACCCCTGGAAACGAACTTTGATAAGAATGCGACGAAGGAAGTTCGGTGTTCCTTTTGAGGAAAGGTCAGTAAACTTTGTGGAGAAAAGTGCTTTTTGTTGTTAAGTCTTTAATTTTACTTTTGCTCATTAACATCATTTGATTTATGAATAAAATGCTATATTTTTGCAGAACTCATACATCACTGGCTCCTGTGTCACCATTTCGGCGATACGTTATTTTAGAGAGATGGCCTATGTTTGCCCAGTGCTGCCGTGCAGCTTCTGTTATTATCGATTAGAAGAGAAGAACTTTAAAATTCAATATTGCTGTGATTCACCACCATTACTTCGGCGGAAAACTGTCGATGAATTGTAGCTTGCGCAACGTTATCCAATGTGCGGCTTATGTAAACTTCTGTCTTCTGTTTTTGAAAGTTGAGGTCATCCAAATAGTGCATCGCGTATCCATGACAACGCTTTTTCTAACAAAAGGAGCAACTTGGGAATGCGTTCCTTTATTCGTTTTAAAAGCTTAGCTTTAACAACAACTTCGATATTTTTGCAAGAAACATTAGTCAGTCAATTTGATCAGCCACATTCGATTTCATCGAGAACTAGCGAATTGAGCCACATCGGACTTGAAAATCGTCGAATCGGAGGTGATCATGAATCTAATGAAACACATCGCGACCATATGTTCGATCCTGGCGGCGTTTTTTGCGGAGGTGGCTTGTGAATGTTCGATGGCAAACGTATGTGTCCCTGGGCCTGTGAATGCAGCCCGGTTAGTGAAACACACCGTGAAAGCCACAAGTACGTGCGGAAATCCACCGGCCTATTACTGCCATTTCGAACCCTTGAACGGAGATTGCACCTTATGTAGCGGCACTAACCATTCGGTGGACAAGATGACCGATGGTGACTTAGAAACGAGCTGGCAATCAGTAACTTGGTGGGAATGGTACAAGAATAACAACAACACAAACAAACCATTCGTGGTAGATGTTACTCTTTCCTTCAACAAGAGTTATGCTATCACTGGAGAAATTCGTATTACTTTTAACTCTCCTCGACCGTTTAAAATGATTCTGGAAAAGTCTGCGGATAAAGGATTAACGTGGACACCTTTGCAATACTACGCCGACGACTGCCAGGAGAAATTCAACTTATCTAACACGCCTGTCGAAAGCATAACAAAGGGTAACTTTGGTCTTCAATGTGTGCAACACTACAGCTCTGCAACGCCTCAAAAAGGCGGCCAGGTAGTGTTTGACTTTTTGCGACGTTACGAGAAAGCTGACTTCTGGAACGGAACACTGCAAGAATATTTCACGATTACGGATCTTCGGTTGCGATTGTTGTATCCTGGTACAGATGGACTGGAGAATGTTGATAATGTAGTCGAAAACATCTTTAATCAGTACTTTTATTCAATCGCAGATATTAGAGTGAATGCCCGATGTCAGTGCCACGGGCACGCAGAGTACTGTGATTTCCCGTATACGAATGGATCACTTTGTGATTGTCTACACAATACAGCGGGTGAAGATTGTGAGAGGTGTAAACCACTCTTCAACAATCAAGCCTGGAGGCCGGCATACTCAAACAGCGAACCTAATCCGTGCGAAGGTGAGTGCATAGAAATAATACTTGAATATTGCATTTGTTCTTCTCGCCTTATTGCTGTGGGATACACAGGTATTTCCTCGAGTTTGCGAGCTATGCGTAAATCGGACCAAATCCCTATTATAACGTGAGCTTTTCATAATTAACATCGTTGCGTCGATGTTTATAACTTCGAGACATGATTAGAAAAAATGGTTACGTGTTCCTTGACAATTTTCGCTGGAAACAATCGGCTCCCAGCTGATCAAGTGAAGGGAGCCGCGGTGCTTTCTCTTGAGATTGCTTGAACAACTTTGTTGTCTAAACCCCATGGGAGTTTAGAATGATTGATGTTATTTCACACAAAATTTAAATTGTAGGAGCAGGTAGACACATTGAACCAGGCTTTCATGAACGAGAACCTTCTATCCCGTGAATAACATGTGTACTACCTCGAGTAACATGCAATTTTTATTCGAGGCCATTAGTTATACCATACTGTTTAGATAATTCTTATTGGTAAATCAAGCTCTCTATTGATGGAAAGCAGTACGCGTCTACCAGAAAGGTGTTAATTTCACCGTTACTGGTGGAAACCGATAATGCTCTACATTAACAAATAAAGCTGGTAATCTTGTAGAAAAGGAAATATATGTTTGTTTTGATCTCTATGTGAGTGGAGTCTCCGTGGAGTACAAGAGTACTATCCTGGACTACTCAGAATAATTTTAAATTGTGATTGTAATGGAGTAACCGTTACCAAGAGCAGTTAATGATATACAAACGATTTACTTATTTCAGCGAGGTTTTGTGGTAGAAACGGGCGAAAAAAATCACAAACTGAATGGCGGTATTGGCATCGTGCGTAATGCATTTTGAAGTGTTGAATAAATGTGTCACACAAAAATTTTACTTATGTAAATTTGGCCCTAAGAAACATCTTATATAATTTTTCCTCATAAATCAGGATTTATCTTTACTCAGGCAGTACATTTTCTTCAAAATATAAATATGTCAAAGTAATGATGGTTACTGTACATCTGTTTTGTGTTCAAGGCTTTCACTTGCAGTCTAACATGGACTCTTCATAGTCTTATGTCAATGGAATATCTAGTTACAGTGGACTCTGTTATTGTGGACACCTAGAAGGGGAGATTTAGTGTTGGTACTGGCAAGAAACCATAATGGGGGGGTTCAAGAGAAGAAAAATTGGTTTGTCTCTAAACAAATGAGATAATATGTAACTACTCAAACATTAAGTTTCTCATGTGACCTCATGAACTGGAAAAAGATTTGGTTGCAAGCATGAAATTCTCATGCTTGTACCCAATTGAAGAATGGTTTCTTTATTTTCCTCTAATGTAATGTTGCATTATGTTATGTGAGTTAGGATTTTTAAGTGTATACTATAGCAAGAGAAAAATAAGTGAAATGTCATGCTTGGGGCACATAAGTGTCCACATTTCTTTAATAGCAAGACTCTGTAATAAGGGGATTTTGTTTTAATTGTTTGTTTGTGTGTTTTGCCGGGGAGCTGGCTCTTGCCCAAAATGGCAGGGTGTCCATAATAGTGAGTAGAACAATGCAAGAGTCAACTGTAGAGCAAAAATATACATTAATACCAGTTCACAGTTCTACTAAGTCAGACTAGGTATTAGTCATCTTATCATGATGTTTGTTAATGGATCATTTGTGTTGCTCTTTCAGAATGTTTGTGTTACGATCATGCTGATAGTTGTCACTACAACAAAACCCTTAATCATGGTATCTGTGACAACTGTTACCATAACACCACAGGGATGTTTTGTGAACGTTGTCGTGAAAAGTTTTATCGCAATATGAGCAAGCCACTAAATGATCCTGAAGTGTGCCTACGTAAGTACTGAAAAGTTAGTGCCTAGTGATATAACTGTATGATATTGGCATGGAAACCTGCAAAGGTACTTCTGGATTTTGATGTAGTTGATGCCATAGGAGGCAAGTTGAACCCACTGACTAAGCTATGGGGTTTTCTATTGATACTAGTGTACTTTAAGTTTATTTTCTAGGAAATTAATAACTTATTTTACATATACAATCGACTTGCATAAGTTAGATTGACATGTCAATTCTGTGCTATCTTTTGGTAATTTCAGCTTGTGACTGCTTCATGTTTGGAATTATCAACAATGGAACATGTAATCAGACAACAGGACAATGCAAATGCAAGCAAAATGTGACAGGTCGGCAGTGTGATCATTGTGCGGACACCTTTTGGGGTTTTGAACTACCCCCATTAGGGGATTGTAGAGGTAAGTGATTTATGCTAATCCACTTGAGTTGTGTTCACACACGGCTAGATTTATCCTTGTAAATATTAATTTAATCAGAGTAAGAACGCAAAGGATGCATTCCTGATGGTAATAAAGTACATATTCTGTAAAAATTATCTTTAGGGCATGTAACTTTTTTCAAAAAGCTTTTTGTTAATTCTCTGTGACAAAGTTCCTTAAAATTCTTAAGGGAAGTCATGAATAAATTGTTGGCAATTTAGTCTTACAACGATCACAGGCTGTAGTCTTGGTGATGAAGTGACATTCAGTTACTAGGTCCTTTGATTTGAAAATCTCTCATAATGTTTCGCAAAATAATAATGAGTAATGAGCAACTATTGCAACCATTAGACTTTAGGAAAAGGGTTGAAATAGTGTGATGGTGAAGAAAGTGCAGTATTTTGCAGCTGTCATCTGCAGGAAAACATACACTGTAGTATTTGGTGCTTAACAATCATTACCAACTCCAATGGTTCAACCTGTTATCCTCCTTTCATTTTTTCATTTTGGCTTTTATCATAGAGTGCAGTTGTAATGGTAATGGAACAGTGAATGGAAGCTTAAGCTGTAATCAGATATTAGGGGAGTGTCCATGCAAGAATAATATTCATCAACGTACTTGCTCAGAGTGCAAAGATGGTTATTACTCATTTCCAAAAGCCATTGAAAGTGACTGTCTTCAGTGTGACTGTGACTATGGTGGAAGTGTACAGGAGATCTGTGAAAAAATGAATGGTTAGTGTCAATGATTAGACAAAATTTTGGTGCAGCATTTAATTTTGTTTTATAGGCTTCAAACTTGAACTATGTCTTACTGAATCTATCCTCTCAAGATGCAATATGCTCTCCTCAATTCACGCTGAAAACGAAACTGAACTATTTTTTTTCTTTTTCATATCAATGTTTTACCCCATCTTGCCTATGTATAATTAGACATATACAAATTTTACAAACCCAATGTCTTGGAAGAACTGAAATTGCCTCCTAGAGGTGAAATTTGATTAGAAAATTGACATTTAGTTTTCAGTAAGTCATGGACTTTCCATAGTGTGAAGTTAGAACTGAAGCAATATTTTATTATTCTTGTTAACCTCTTTATAGGCTGAAAAATTAACTTACATCTTATTTTCCAGGAACTTGCCTTTGTCGAAGCCATATTGAAGGAGAACGGTGTACTGCAGTTAGAGCAGGGTTTTATGTTGCTTCCTTTGACCACCTGAAATATGAAGCTGAAGATGCTATGGGCAATTATGAAGCCACCTCTAATTTCACTGGGGTGGACCAGGAATTTACTGGCAGGGGCTATGGAAAAATTGGATTCAACCAATTTATTTCTTTCAATGTCAACTTATCCACAAGCTTCAGGGACTTCTACATAGTTATTCGCTACACCCACACTGAGAAGGCCAACTTATCACTTCTACTCTCTATTAGTTCTTGCAATGAAAAAAATTGCTCTGAGTCAAATAATTTTTCAATCTCAGATGTGCCTTATGGAGTTGGATTAGCTTGGATATCAGAGGAGGCTGTGTCTTTTGTAAGAGGCCAAGTGTATCATTTGAACTTGAGCTATGTCAGTGGAATGTACCAAAACACATCCATTGAAATAGACTCTTTAATTTTACTTCCAAATGTGAGAGATGTTAGGATTTATGAGATTGCTAACAGATATGGTTCTGTTCATGGCATGGCACTGCAACAGATTGAAAATTGCTGGAACAAATCCACCACCATTTCTGGGTCTCAAAGTGGTTTTGACACAGCAGTATGTCAGAATGTTACCTTCTCTGCAATGGCTGAAGTGTTTGATGGAGCTATTGGTAAGTGGTGTTAGGGATAATTTAAGTCAATTATTGTAATTAGAGAATTTTGATTTCTGGATAATTTTTGTTGAGGTGTGACACTGGCAGTTGTCTCAACACTGGCCAAGAAGGCAGTTGATCACATTGACAGTTCACATGGAGAGGGTACCAGTCTCCTGTCTTTGCAAGTTGAAAACTTGTTATTATCTAACAAATATTTTAAAGTACAGAGCTGTATAAACGTGAACCATGATGAATGAAATGGTCTCATCCCACCTTCTCTCAAGGTTTAACGTAAATGGAAGAAGCTCATAGAGACCATGTGTATGACTAGCACTGTAGTTTCCAGGATGTTTATCATTATGGTATACTTCCTATTTTTTCTTGTTAATACTTTTGTTGGTACATTTTACATGTACTTCTAAGCAGGTTGTTTTTTTAAACTGATTTTAAACATATATCACTTGATTTGAGTGACCACATTTTAACTCATGTTTTTTTGTTTGTTTTTATAGCTTGTTCTTGTAACAGTACTGGCACTAAAAATGGTACCACCTGTCACAAGCAAGGAGGTCAGTGTCACTGCAAGCCAGGAGTGACAGGACATGCATGTGATCGTTGCAAACCAGGATATTTTAACTTTACTGGAAGTGGATGTACAGGTATGTACAGCAAAATGATAGAGAACTTATGAAATGAGACTGTTCATGCCTTCATATTTAGTTCTGATTCAAATGGAAGCCATTGAAACAAGATAACATCATCTCTGTTTCCTCTCAGCTTGTGGATGCAGTGGTGTGGGCTCATCAGATCTAGTATGTGATCCTGTGTCTGGTCAATGTCCATGTAGGCCCGGTGTTGTAACAAGGACATGCAGCAGGTGCAATGCAACCTACTATGGTTTTCAATCAGGACAGGGCTGTGTTGAGTGTAAATGTAATGCAAGTGGTTCTTCAGACCTGCAGTGTGATGATGTTAGTGGTGTGTGCCCATGTAAGAACAGCACCACTGGGTCAAAATGTGACATGTGTCGTAAAAACTTCTTCAATTTCACATCAGAGGGATGCCAGTGAGTATGCATGTTTTGCAAACAATCCATAGCTAAATGTAACATTGTAAACAGTGGGTTACCTTTGCACATGTAAAATGTATTTGTTTTTCATGCCTTTGCTGCATGCTGCATATACAGATAGGCAAAGTCAGATAATTGCTATTGTTTAGGAATGTGTTTTGGTGTAAAAGACTTCCTCCCTACTTAAACTTCTAGCAGACTGCTTTGTGTAATCTAGTTTCAACCGAAATCAAAAGAGGCTTTGTAACAGGCATTTTAATTTCCCTTAACTGATTTTAAGACCTTCAATAGCTTTCAGTGTGTGCCTTAGGGCGGGGAAAAATAAAGAAAGGTTGTTTTTGAAGGGATGGAGGCTAGTTTAGATAAATATTGGTACAAGCACTCAAACATGTAAGACAAAGTCCAGCCTTGTTTGTTGAGTTATCACTATCCTTTAGTAAAAGCTGTGACAAATGGATGTACATGGATTGCAAGCTGGTGATAGTTATACCGTACACAGACAAGATTTTTTTCTTAAGCCAATCCATTATTGTTTTCCTTTACAGACCATGTAACTGCCATGAGGGTGGTTCCAGCTCAATGCAGTGCCATCTTAACACAGGGATCTGTAAATGCAAAGCCAATGCCGAAGGAGAAAAGTGTGAGAGATGCAAAAATGGAACTTACAATAGTGACCCACAAAATCCAGATGGATGCTCTCCATGTTTCTGTTTTGATCGATCCAATGTTTGTTCCTCTGCTGTTGGCTTTATTAAAGATTATATTATGGTCAACTTCTCAACACTGAATCACGTTAATAAACCAGGAAATCTGCACGTGCTATCGGAAAATAATGGTAATACCTTTAAAATTGATTTTCCATCCAACAGCAATGTGACAGTTATTGTTAAGAATAATTTTCAGGGAAACCAACTTTCTTCTTACAGTCAGTTATTCATAATTGACTATGTTGAGGCTGAAAGTTTAAATGCTTCTTGGATCATCACACTGAAAAACACTCTGGATCGTGAAGCGCGCTTCAGCATAGTGTCTTCTCTTTCCTCGTCAAAAAAGGAATATCACGCACTTCTTCATGAACGTAACACCCTCAACAACTTATCTGCTTTTGACTTACAAAGTATCCTAGTGGATATCGATTCTGTTGAAATACAAGGACGTTTCATAGCCAATGGCTCTGTTACAATAGCTGCAAAGATGGTTACTGCTACCAGAGGTGTTGGAGAAGAAGTAAGATATGTTGAAAACTGCACCTGCCCCTACAATTACACAGAGTTGTCATGTGGATATTGCAATTCAGGTAAGGTACTACCACAGTCACTGGTAATTCTGTAATAGCAGTTTAAAAATGGGATTAGCTGAGACGGAAATACTTAGAAAAGAGAAAGATGATCGAGGGCCAAGTAAGACTTGTCCTTCCATGAATATGGACAACGAATGTGGGAGACTGAAAAAGGATAGTTGCTTGTCGAAAACATCAAAACTGGTTTTGAAGTTTATTTATAATTCTTTTTTTCAAGGATTTACTCGCCGACCTCCTAACCCGAGTCACTCGTCAAGAGTGTTCAGCTCGTGCGTGCTGTGTTCATGCACTGGTCGTTCAAAGGAGTGTTTCCCTGAGAATGGCACGTGTTACAACTGTCGCATGGGATCTGAGGGTGAGCACTGTGAGAGGTGTCAACCTAACGTGGATAACACTACCGACTGCAGACGCTGTGTACCTGGTTATTTTGGATTGACCCCTTCGTCTGGTGGCTGTCGAGGTAACACATCTTATATTATAAGCTTATTTAAGCGGAAACAAATTTTCAAACAAACGGAGTTCTCCTCTGTGTATTTGTTTTGTTTCCGTCCTCTTTTATGTCTCCTGCATGCTCTTTTTAGTCTGTCTGAAGACCAGCATTATTCTTGATACCTGTAGGTCATATGCAGTGCTAACCGAGTAAGTGCACAAACCACTAAAAATTACTCCTATGTAAAGGCTCCTACAATAACTTAACATTAGAAGAACTAAAGTATTATAAACGATTTTCATAAAATTTCACCGTATTTTCCAATCCAGGCAGGATAAACACATGAAATGTCAGGCTTTATTCTAAATCTAATAACTGAAGCTGTTTCCAAAGGTGTGCTTAAAATTTTTTTTCTGTTTTGTCATGTTTCAGACTGTGACTGTGTTGAACCCAACACACTGTACGGAAATAGTACTGTATGTAATGAGACAACCGGCCAGTGCACATGCAAGCCAAGAATTGGTGGACGGCGATGTGACCGGTGCCATGAGAACGCCTACAACACGAGCAGAGGATGTGTTGGTAAGTGTGCAAAGAAACTGATAGCTACG